TTCTGCACGCAACCTTGAAGAATTTTGCTGAATAAAATTGGCTCTGTCAACATCTCTAGTAGAATTGCTTGGAGTAGCAATTCTGGCTCTTGTTCGGTATACCAGGTTCCGGTCGTACAAGAAATCACAGGAAATCTAGTCTTGAGATTCCCAAGCGCTTCTCGGACTTTTTTGTCTTTCAAATGTAAAATATGCTCTACATTCAAACTCGAACGAAGATGGGCAGCATGATAGGGGCCGTATACAGGGATAGAAACCGGCTTCGCTTGGAAAGCCTCGGATGCAAAAAGTGATCTCAAAGTGGAAGGAGGCCCACTTATCGCAATACTTTTTGAGGTTGTTGCACTGATATATACTTGATTTACTATAGGTGTTTCCTTTGAAAAGTCAGTAAAATCGGCCTAATGAGTAAATTACAACGCACATTTTCTTTGTGAAAGTCGGTGAGTATCGAGTTCACCTCGCTCTCCTGGACAGCGGGAACGACGTAAGTCCAGCTTTCTGGCAACTCTGATCGGCTATCGAGTCTGTCGGCGAGGGCTGCGACGTATGCACCCGTTCGAAATGACATCAACATCACTTGAATAGCGATGGGTATCAGTTGAGAGATCGATGGGGAAGAAGCAATTGCAGCGGCAGCAAAAAGTCCGGTGCACAAGCCAACAAGGCAGGTTTCACTAGGACTAGTCGAATCTCCATGTTCTTTCTCGTGGCGACTGATTAGATACATTAGTGACAGAACTGACTCTATATAGGGTCTATACTAACTCAATGTATTGCGATAACTGAGCAATGCACAAAAGGGCACTGTCTATAGCAGGACTTTTGATAGTACCTGCGTGATATAACTTATTTAGTTCGAGTATCGTGGAGAAATCTGGTATCCTATTTCGCTGGAGGCTTGGTAATCTATCGATTTCTTCCCTAAGGGCAGAGCCAGCCTGCTCGAGGAAAGATCTCGAAAGCACACTCGGTCTCCCATGTTGACAAAAGTCGGTCAAGAAAGTATGCGTGTCCAATGACTGGTCGCCAAAGACCAGGAAAGACATTTTGTCCCCCATATTCAGTATGATACAAGAAACTAAGTTGGTGGAAAATCCTGAGGGAAACCTGCTGGTATTTCATCAACTCTATATGCACAACTTGCAGTGGCCTGTATTATTGAATCTCCAAGAAAGCTCAGCTCATCTCATCTGATTTGAAATCAATTTACGGAGTAACCTCTACCCTCAACCATGTCATGATGGCAAAACACTGTGGATCATTATCAGCTCATTGACTTCTGATGTCTTTGTCCGGTCATCAATCTCAAAATAATATGACAAACAAGGGTAGAAAAGCTTGTTTAGAATGATGGAGTGTGCGGGCCGACTAAGAAACGTAGACTTTTTTGAAGATCTAGCACTGACAAGTCCATATCTTACAATACTCTCTTTTTGGTATCAACGTCTATTACGGGACAGATAGTTTTAACGCCTATACGGATACGAAATGAGACGGTTCGTCCTATTCCGCCGCACTAATTGTGATTAGCTGTCCTGAAGAAATCGGACTGGTTCGAAAGCACCTCATTCGCCCGAGATTAGGTACCCAAAATACAAGGGTAATTGGCATTGGAGCCAGGTGGTACCTCGCATAAGCAACGTCCGTACTGACAGTACATAACACCACAGAATTGATTGTAACAAGTTCCGGTGCGACACTGTCCGGCGGACATCCCCACGCGGTCATAACTCCAACCTGGACTTTGAGCGGCTCAGCCTACTAGCCGAGCGCATCCCAATGTTGGAGCAAGTTGCTTGAGAGTCAAATGTCTTAGAATCAACCAGCTAGACCACCGTGAGATAAACACATTCATCGGGGGAGCTATCCAAACGTGGGGGATATGCCTCCATGATCACAGTTGTGCTGTTGCGGTTGCAGTTGCAAAATACGATTTGGTGTTGTGGGTGAGATTGTCCGACCGGAAGATAAACACGCTAGCGAAACGCGTTCTACTGTATGTTTGTGGCACGTGACCTCATCGAGCCACTTCAATCCTTCCGCCAAACATACCCAATTGCATTTCGTTCCTACAATCTCTTCTCCTTCTTCTCCGCTTCTCTCCATTCACCTCTTCGATCTAAGAAGAATCCGAAATTAAATTATTCCAAAAACACGATGATTAAGCTGTGGACAGCGAGATTTTCGTGACGACATTGACTGACTGATTGCATGCCCTAGCTCAATTATTCCGACTGGTGGGCTTACACATGAATGACTTCTCTGTTCTTAATATGTTATTCCATGTGAAGAATTTGTGTCTTCTATTCTAGGCTGCATGCATATCCGAGCTGGAAGCTTGCATATTATTGACCTCAGCCGTACTACAGGTAGTTGTCAGACAATATCTTGTGCTATTTTCGCGCCGTGGTGTTATTTCGAAGACTAGTCTCCAGTAATGCACTCTGTTCTTGTTCCTATAACTTATATCTTAACTTACATGCGATGCTTTTATAGAGTATGAATATCTTTCCTGTGTCTATCTGCAATATCTCGAAGCAAGACTCATTTCAACTGATGTTATCACAAGGCAAATCATCATTTTGACCTCGACAGACTTCGGGGCTCTTACAAATGAAGGGCTAGATTTCGCATTTAATTTCCAGCATTCATAATTCAAACCTATTCCTAGATCTGATACAGACGTACGCTTGCCTGTTTCAGAGCAAGTATCTTTCATGTCCCTCGCAAACGGGGCTCGATGAAGGAAGTGTTACGAGTGCAATAGTTCTTGACAACATACCGTGCCGAACGTTATCGCGATTGATGCAGGCGTAGTGCATACTATCTCTACTGTGTTTTACAAGATTCAAAGAATCTGCTTCCTTGTACTCCACTCCGGGTACGGCAGTACCTTTCCCGAGAATCATCATCTTTTGTCACTTTTGGATATTGAGAAATAGTAGTAGTTAATTTATCTCGCTACAGAAATATTTCCAACGACCTCAAGAGTTTGAAGTTTAGTGAGTGCTAAACCTTGGAATGAAAGACCAGCGCGAAGATTACGGAATGAATAATTGAGACCTTTGACCTTGATCTTGTCATTACTATTGTGAAAGGCAACGAAAGCAATTTGAAATGAGTTACTCGCAAGTCTTGAGATTGCCATTCAATTTGGGACACATAAAAGTTGAAGAATGGATCGATGACCCAATGATTTGTTTCTGTGTTCCACAACATCCGGTTGTGGCACTTTGTAGAAGATTAAACAACTAAACGTTTATTTTCGGGAGAGGAAATGGGGAGATGTTGAGCGCATACATTCGGAAATCTGCAATCTGAATCAGAATCTCTATCCTGAAAAGAAAAATATTAAATTGGTGACTCAATAGCGTATATGAACAATAATCACTATTTGGTTAGAAGCCAGACCATTAGACTTCTATGTTATCGTCAAATCTTGGCATAATGCTGCAAAGCGTAAGCTAGGAATTCTCCACGGCCGCTTTCATTATATTTGAACAACTTCAATTCAAATGTTTATGCCGATGATAATATTTACAACTAGGTAGGTTCCTTTGGATGTGCAATCTAAGCTGTAGTACTATACGAGCTATAACACTACATGAGGCCGTGCTACTTACACACGATGATCACCTTACTTCATCAAAAGAACTTTGCCACAAGGTGCTAGATGGCTTAGATGAAAGAGAAATACCACGGGGATGTTCTTGAAAACATTTTCGCCAAACAATACAAGAGAAGAGCAACCTGCTCCGACCAGCATTATTAAATGAGTCGCTGCAAAAATTAAAATTGATTTTCTATATTGCCCAAGATATCTAATCTGTCCCAGTTGGTTCTCATTACAATAGCCATACATCATCTAATCCATCTCTGGATGCATATAATCAACCTTGGCACCTCCAAACAATTCATCTCTTGACTCAGCGCTATCGTAGCAACATTCGAGCCCCTGCTGCAAGTTTGGCAACGGAAAATTGGAGTTCGATTCAATACAAGCATCTAACTCGCTTTTGATCCAACATTCATTGTCTTGAGCCAATTGCATTCTTTCAAACATGTTCAGAACATTCGAATATCCCGATTGGGGCTGCGGTGATTTGCGACCTTGCACATGAGAGGTCAACCTCCTGTTTTCACTGTGATTTAGCTTGCTGATATACATATGCAAATCGTCTTCGGAAGTACAGTTATCACGGGCTATAAGTGTACGGCAGAACAGGACCTTATCATAGCAGACTTTGAGGATCTCCGGGGGAATAGGTTTTTGTTATTTTTCTCTATCTACTTCATAAAATTAGATACATGTAGGTGCATCGCATAGTCAGCGTAGCTTTAGCTATAGACTGAATCTATTATGTGTTTACTACTACTACTATACCTATGCACATGTTGTCCCTGCCATACACTTAACAATTTGCTTTATGGAATCACAATCAGTAGAAAAAATCATTGGCGAGACCATGATTTATGAATCACAGCAAGCGAATTTTTATGTAACATTATATTTGTAGGAGTTGTGCAACTTCGTTCCAGGTAGCGAAGAGTTCCAGGAGTGTGTCTTAAGTATGTTAAAATCACAGGAAAAAGTAATTGAATTGAGTGTAGTCAATTCCATCAAGTAGTTGCCTGAGAAGCAACAATCATCCGCATATTTCTGCGTCCAGTCGCACTAACTCAACATGATTGTTTCCAGAAGATCATTCGATAGCAGTCTTGATAGCAATTACTCACTTTAAATCCTAGTCTCTATGCCATGTGTTGTAAGGACTGGAAAAGAGCACGGCACTCCTGCTATCATTGAACTTTCTTTGAATTTCGATATTCCGGGTTCTATCGGAGTTTTGCTGGAAAAATCTAAAGTAACGAGAAAACCAGTAGTGTTGCTGGATAGGTTTCACCCTTGAAATGGTAGTAAAGTTGCGTCTCTTTGAAAATGAATTCTGTTGTGCATATCTAAGACTATATAGTACAAATACAAGCAGAATTGTTTTGAATGTTGGGGCTTTGCATCGGTCACACAATGGTTGCCATCGGTAATCCTCTATGTCAAGAACAAAGCAGATTAATCATTGTATGTATAGTACCGAAATATATACAGAAGTGTTTTGCAAATGTATGTGCCATCGCAATTCATTCCAATTCAAATCTGGCTTTCTCAGAGAGGGCCGTTGGGATGGATTAAAACTTTAGTATATCCATCCTCCCTTCTATCAAATTTGGTATAAGCGTTTGGTGCCTCATCGATACCAATTTCATGCGAAACAACGAATGAAGGTTTTGCGACGCCTGAGATAATCATATCTCGCAGATAACGATTGTAGGCTTTGACATTGCATTGTCCAGTGCCAATGGAAAGACCCTAGAATGTCAGTAACGCTCACTTGTATTGATATTTGTAGTAGTACTATCACCAAACTCACCTTCTCGAATAACTTCCCAAAACTTATCAATAACATTCCTTGGCCAGCATTGCTATCTGGAGCACCAGGGTCGCTTGGGACATATAATCCTGGAACACCGATACCACCGGTTGGTCTCGTCACTTTGATGCAATTCTCCAAAACAATACTTGGTACTTCTTTCTTGCCATCCTGTGCAGAAGCCTGGTACCCGACAGCGTCCACGCTCCTATCGACCATCTGGCCATTCTGTTTTATGATTTCCTCGACGGCGTCACATTTGGTGAAATCCACAGCGACACAACCGATTTTCTCCGCAGCTTGTAGACGTTCTTTCACGCTATCAACGACAAACACTTTGCTTGCTCCTCTGAGCTTTGCACTATACGCAGCCATCAATCCAACAGGTCCGGCTCCGAAAACGGCGATTGATTCTCCTGGTTGGAAGCCAGAAAGTACAACACCATGCCACCCCGTTGGGAATATGTCGGCAAGAAGGATAAAATCCGCTTCGTGCTCTTTTCCAGCAGGAAGAGGAAGGCAGTTGAATTCGGCATATGGTACACGGATATATTGTGCTTGACCTCCTTGGTAAGGTCCCATTGCAACATATCCATACGCCCCGCCTGCGAATCCGCTTGATGAAATTAACGAAGTGTAAACAGGAAGCTCAAGCTTAGATGAGACCTACGGATTAACACCTGTACAAAAAGCCGTTTTGCCCTCTTCACAATTCCTACATCTGCCATCTGCCACATTGAACGGCATCACCACACGATCCCCTTTCTTAATATGCTGAACACCAGAACCGGTCTCGATCACTATGCCCATATTCTCATGTCCAAAACATAACCCACCTTCCGCAGCCGTTCTTCCCTGATACATGTGCAAATCACTTCCGCAGATTGCGGCTGTTGTCACCTTCACCAGTGCATCATCCGGATGTTCGATCGTTGGCAGTGGGCGTTCTTCGACAGTTACTTTGAAGGGTTCTGCACAACATAAATGTCAATCATTCGGTCTTTATAAGAGTACTTGGGATAGAACTAATGATCATACCTTGGTATATAACCGCTTTCATTGTTTGCGTTTGAGACATCTTGAAGGCTACTTCTATGCAAAACCTACTTCTTTGAGGTGAAATGTTGACTTCTACCTAGAATTACCTAGTATATATATATCATGCAAGTATGATGGCATCGTCTTCCCCGCGTTCTAACTATAGTATGGATGTTCCCAGGCTCGGACGTTCATTCGTTCATGAACCATCAAAGCAACCTACCAACCCCGCACCCGGCCATTGGTTGCTGTTACATGGCATATTTCTAGAAGACTTTGTGAATACTCATTCGCATATCTCCTGCGCGTCGGCAGTTGATCCCGAAGAGTCTTTGAGGCTAAAACAACATCTCTACGACGTAATGATAGAAAGCAAATTGAGATATGGACAATAAGATTTGTAATTGTGGGATGTGAGCTAGAGTTAACATCGCTAAGCCTCGGGTATAGTAATTGGTCAGATCCATACAACAGTAAACTTTAGATTCATTGTGCGGAACTGAATTTCAATGCTTAAACCTATGAGAACGCGATGTCCTTGGGAATAGTGCGAGTAGACGTTCTGATTGAATTAGAATGGATGTGGTGTTCCAACTGCCGCGTCTCACCGCTTTGGTGAGTATGAAGCTCCTTTTTGAGCGACAAAGTCCACTGCCTCGACTCAATGCATTGTCGTTGCGGGAGTGGCCGGTGAATGCATTCGATATGAAGTCATGTTGGCATCATCTACGAATCTTGAAATCTTTGTCAAGACCGAATTTGAGCCACCGATTCTGGGGCTCCACCGACGCTCATTACCAATCGTTGCGGAGCAAAGTATAGAATGGATCTGTAGGTGCAAAACCTCTCCATAAGGATACCGCCCGGTTTTTGTGGGTTAATTCCGATCAGGTCACAGTTCTAAGATTTCTTCTACTTTAATATAGATACACATAATCCTCGGGCCTCGAAATATAAGGACATCCTTATAAAGAGGATATAAATCAATTTTAAACCTAAAATCGTTTGGAGCCAGAAATAGAAAGATATCCTCATCAAGAGATAAGGTTATCTTTATACAGCTGGAGGACCCTTAATACTATTAATAGCTTCATGTACGAACAACATTGGGCGCCATTTGCCCGCGAGCCCGCATTCGAGGGATAGTGAGGTTTTACTGTTTCACAATTGAATTTATTGTCAAATTATCAATCAATCAAGCTCATTAATTATTAGTAAGTCAGATAAGTTACCAAAGAATGACCTCGGTCTCCGAGCTGTTAAATGGAGAGTTTTGGACTTCAACTATTTCTCCAACGTTTCCTTTATTTACTTTTTTCAAATCTTCAAGAGCCTCATATTTGAATAAATCTTGACATATACATAATGGCACCAATTCACTTCTTAGTAACTCTTACTCCCGCACCGGGAAAGGAGGCTCGTGTATGTGCCTCAATATTCTCCTTCCACTAATACCAACCCGAGCTAACATACCTTTTCCAGCTCCGAGAAACCCTCACAGACTTCGTAAACAAAGTTGAGAAGAATGAGCAGGCAACTCATAAGTACCAAGCATTCGAACAATACGATGGTGAAAAGGGAAATGTCTTCGTTCTCCAAGAAATCTGTATGTTCCTCTCGCTCCACTATCTTCCGCTTGCTCATCTTCAGCCATGAATGTATAAATCGCTCGTATGGAATTACACATGCTAACAACAACTAGTTGAAGACGAAGCCGCAGTAGCTGCTCATATGGGTGCATCCTACGCCAGTGAATTTGGAAAGCTTTTGTCTGAGGAGGGACTTGTGGGTGCACCAATCGACATCAAAAAGATTCAGCCATTTGTTGGATTTGCTAGTCGCTAGATGTGGGATCTCGAATTATTGTACAAAATCCCGCAATTCAGAACATATTGTACCATATCATACTCATACTATGCGTCTAAATCTATGTCTAAACATGCATCTATCTTAATTTGTTCATCTATCTAACTCTTCAATCCCGTTCCATTTCTGATCAAACAAAAGCAGTTTTAGGAGCAAATCTGCCCCCAATCACAGGAGAATTCTCAGTCAACACATCCCAATCATGAGCATCCAGTGCAGCTTGTCTACTCTTCAAGACTGCCTCATGGGTTCTTGGTCTCATCTCCGCTTCGTATGCATCAATTGCTTCTTTTTGTGTAATTTCACCAGCTTTGACCTTTTTCAATTGATCGACTAAGAGAGCTGCATCCAAAATCCCGTGGTTGGCCCCTTCGCCTCGATACCTATTTATCATGTCAATTTCTACCAATTTCCGTGCATCAATTGCCACCCGAATTTCGAAATCATATGATGGCAAGGGCAAGATCAAGAGATCAAGAAATCTAAACGCAACTTACATCGTCATAGCATGCGCCGCATCGCCCACCAATGTCACCTTTCCACCCCAATTATCCCATTCTTTCGTCGGAAAGTCACTCAATCTCAACGGAGTCGTCGTAATATCCTCCGGAATACCCGTGACAATACCCCTCAATGGTTCTGCAAACCCTTCCGTTCTCTTCTTCATATACGCCACTCTCTCAGCATCAGTCTTCGGCATCGCATCCGCAACCTCATCTCTGATTAACCAAGAAAAAACTATCAACCCTTTGTAGCTCTTACTTCCATCGTCCTTGGGAACTATCTCTTGCAAACTAAACCACATATAACTTCCAGTTTCCGGGTCTAGCCCTTGGAATAACAATGGATCGATAGCTCTTACAGATGAAATTTGTTCTTCCGTAAATGGCCTCACGACTCCAATACAATAAACAGGCAATTTCGTCAAGTTGGCTGCATCTGATCCATTGAACAAGCATTTTCGCGTCACACTATTATTTCCATCAGCACCTACAATTAAGGTGGCATTGCTTGTTGTCCCGTCTGAAAATTGTGCAGTCACGAGATCAGAATCTGAGGCTGGGGCAATTGATGTAAGACCTTTCCCTTCATGGATATCGAGATCGGTAGCGAGTACATTGCGGATTTTTTGTCGATCCAAACGTCGACGGAGCTTGCTTGGTGGGATTTTGTAGCGGGGTGAGGCTGTACGGGCGTTGAGGAATAGAAAATTCCCATCGTCGTCGTTGAGGGTTGGATCAACGGCTGCCTGTTGTGTTCAGACACATTAGTCGTCGGATCATTTTATGTTGGCAATTTGTTAACACGTGGCTTTCTTGAGATAATTGCATCTCGCGACTTCCGACTCATCACGAAAGCTCTCACAATCTCCAAACTTCGTGCCAGGAAACTCTTACCGTAGGTATCAACTCGGATAATTTCTCCCCGATCGTCCTTTCCAAGCTTCTCAAGCACCACTATATTATTGTCTGGTTAGCAAGCTGTCCCTTCACACCCTTCCAACTGTCTTGCCTGCTCCCCACCCATGATTTGAAGCACCGCTCATCAATCAATGATCCCATCAATGATCTCATCAACATTACCACAATCACTACCTCATTTACTGCCAATCCCTTCTTGTCCCCATTTCTCTTCAAACTCACATGCAAAGTAATCGCCCACCCTTGAGCTCTCTTCCCATGCTCATCCTTCTCCACAACCTCAAAGTCAATCCCATTCTCCCTGCACCCTTGAGCAAGTGTCAATCCCACAATTCCTCCTCCTACTATCAGGACTTTCAAATTCGATTTCGCTATTTCGCTACCATTTTATTAGTACCAGCTATTCAGACCCTAGGAGAGGTACACACGAAGGCATATTTCACTCCAATTATTGATCCCTATTCTTGAAGTTCTGAGATAAAGGCAGAATGAAATCTTAGAAAACACAAAAGATAATAATACCACTGAACTGGGAAAACCATCAGGGAAAACTCAAATATAGGATTTCCAGGTAAGCTGCCCCTCAATAACGGATATCCGGCCCAAAAAGGCGTTATACGCGCTGGCGCATCAGCACCAATGAGAGGTGCAGATGAGACAAGGGAGGCTCTGAGGTGCATATTACCCTGTCGTTTGAACATGGTGTGTAAAAATAAAGAATGGTATAGATGGCAATGCACATGGCAATTTTCCCCACGCCGTTTGAAAATGACAATTCGCTAAGACAAATTTGGGAGGTGAGTATGGTGAGTATCCTATTGCGCACAGTGAATATAATGAATGGCGTGATGTGCATCAGGGAGAGTATACATGATATGGTCCTAAATTACAACTATACAATCACACTTACTCTACACTCCAATATCATCGTGTTGATTTGCTTAATTTCTTCAATTCTTCCATTGCGCTTTTGCTTCTCGATTTCGAACCAAAAGAGCTCAGAAAATCCCATACCCACCTCTATCCACCTATACCTACCCGATTCAAATATCCCTTACAGAATTCAAACAGCACTCCGAGGTTCCTCAAGATTCATGTCGATTGTTAAAAATCTTGAACATCTAATTGATCAAATGGCTATCTGTCACCATAAAAGACCAATCTTTGACCTCGATTGCAACGAAAGTAGTGGCAGATGTAGTTAAGTGAACCTAATTGCATACCATGGCATACCACACAAGGAGAACCAGTCCATACTTTCCAAACGCCCTCAAAAGCATAAGGCAGGAACGAAGCATCTGGAAGAAACAAGAACATGAATTAGAAACATCTTTGACCCAAGCCAAAGCATTCCATACAACAAAAACATCAATAAACCCCACCAAGTCATCAAATACCCCTCATCTTACTTCACCATATAATTTACTACCAACAAACATCCGATATCAAACAACCCTTCAGCATGCCTCCTCTTCCTCCTCCGAAAAAATCTCCCTTCCCGCTATTTTCAAACGAGATGTCCTACCACGAAAACCCATTCTTCGAAGCGACTCTCCACGAAACACACCCCTATGTCCCCTATACTCCTGCTCGGCCACAGAAACAATATTTAGCGATTCCTGCTGTTCCATCTGGTGCACCAATGCAACCTATCGGTTCACATCTATCAGGGCCTCCTTCACTCCTGATTCTTTTTGTATGTGTTTTGGTTGCTGGCTATGCGTATCGGATGTTTGCGCGCAGTTCTTGTGGTTGTGGGGCGCATAAGACGAGATATAGTACCGGGAAGGCGACTACATGTGGGAAAGGCCATTGAGGTGCCAATTTGGGTTCAATGAGGGAGGCTGTGATGATGAGTGTACTAATTCCTTGCTTGGACGAGAAGAAATTCGTTGTGGTTACGAAATTCTTTTCTGTATGGGAAATAAGGAAGCTGTTGGGGAGCCGGACTTGAATTTTGAGATGGAGCATCATAGAGGAGTTTCAGCGCCGGGCATAACGCGAATGCTTTGGGCTTGTTCATATTTTGGAAAAGGACATCATAGAAGTTTGTCAGCGAGAATATGTGCGACTACGCAACTCAGCGACAATGTGGATAGAGAGGACTGTTATTATAGATTTTGATTGCATTTTAACGTGGACTTGAACTTTGCAACTTATGAGAGATAGTAATAATTGCTATGCTCCAGCTTCCTTTTCCTGGCCGATGGCCAGTCCCATGCCACAAAGCTTTCCGTGAGAAACATTGCTCTCAAACACGGTTCTCGCAGAAGGCGCACACAAGACGTACGTGAAAGAATAAATATCATGTGGCAATGCTCCTCCTACCTTGAAAAGAAAAAAGAAAGACCCGATCTAGACTTACTGTAATTCCTGGTCATAACTTAGACTCTGCCCTTGCAATGCCTGCCGCAAACAAGACCTACCTCTTTTCCCTTCTTCGGGCCATCGATCCATCTTTCTCCATTCCAGATCAAGACTGTAGTCCGAGTTTTCCCCATATTCCTTCTCCGACCCGAAACCCGATATACAAAGAACAATATCCCCACGCCGCAGATCATTATCGTATCACAACATCCCAAGTCGCACATCGCACATGGCACCATATGCAACGTCCGTCCGACATCCCCAAACTACTCACCGAACAAATTTCCACCGCATTATGCACTCTTACTAACCCCAATCTCCCATGCAAACCTCCGCATATATCAAATGCAATGTAATATGATTGTACAGGTAACAGGCGGCAGAACCAATTCGATGGGCATTGCATGTTGAACTATCGATGAACGTTCCATTTTCAATGCGAAATTTCCATCGTATTCCCGTATGAACAAGACATCTCGTACTAGTGCTGCAGTGACCGAAGGATAGAGCATATTCGTATCCGTATAAGTGAATAGCGAATATCTCATTGTCGTCGGAGGAGATGCTAGAACTGGTGACCTAGTCGTGCTATACAATTGTAGCTTCTCGTAATAATAAGTTTACCGTTCTATACACAGCTCGAATATTCAATCAATTGCTGCGTTCCGCAGTGAACCACATGTGTCACGTTCAAAGTCGTGTCGCTCTTTCCCATTTTTACGGTAATCGGACATCCAAGTGTGTCTAGCTGATATCACACAAAGAACGGAGTCGAGTTCATGTCCGTTAGTCGCACACAACTCTTCCAAATGTCCTTCTTTGCTTATGTGTATTGAAAATATGTATGTGTAGAACAGCGTCCGGTCGCTATAACCCCTGAGATGATAATAATAGGGGGGCGTCGCATGTTATGCATGCAAATGGTAGAACGATTGTTTACTCGTACGCGCTGGTGGTCGATTTCTACATTCTTGTTTGGCGTATACCGTCATCGTGAAAGTGGAGAAAGGAAGTGAAGGGAGTGATACATAGTATGTAGTCGCATCGATTCTAAGAGAGTTATTCTGTGGGGTGGTACTTGGCATAGGTAGCTTTATCATGCTTGGATGTATTGTCGAGAGCAACCAGGGACTCCAAAGCACTCTCGCAGGCTGCCACTCGTGGCAAGAGCTTAAAGGTAGAATTTTTTGAAAATGTAAGATTTGTTCTCCGCCGCGTCGCGAGAGTGTTGATCTTATTCGGAAACCTCCGCACAGGCTATTCACGCATACAGCAACAGGGCTCACGACTCTCTAACCGAATCCTATCAATACTAGGAAATAGAGCTTCGACGATCACTGTTCTCTTTGTTGATTGTGCAGCTGTTGAGAGAAACTAGCTATGAAATGCATTACCAAGAAGAATGCCATTTCGGATATGCAATGAAACTTTTGGTGTAAAGAAGTAGGGGTTTATCAATTCTAAGTTTGTAGTTTGATAGGAGCAACATGGTTGCCCCCCACCGTGAACAGGTCACACCTCTGTAATTGAATCAGGAAGGTACTTGTCAAGCAATTCAATTAGAGAAATGCAACAAGACTCGAAGACTGAAATTGATTGGCTATGTATCACGTGAATTGTAAGTCAATAAGATGTCATACTACGCATGACCAAGACATCTTGACTTTTGACAAGACTAAACTCAATCAAGACCTCATGAAAGCTTCATCGTTCAGCATAAACTCTATTTTTCCGAATGTTTAAGAATTAAAATCTTTCAATTCACAAGAGTGATGCACAACAAATGAGTCTAGAACGTAGCGGCAAATCTGCTGTCTGTCTAACCCTGGAAAATTCACAGTTCGAAACTCAACTCATCTTTCCAAGTCTAGAGAGAGAGAGAACTTTCCATCAAGTAGTCAAGTTAAGACATCCAAGAAAACCTTGAATTGTAAAAGTATTGAAAACCTAGGTATTGGAAGTAGAGTTTGAATGTAGTGCGGATGACTTTTATGGCTTATTGAAGCGACGACCTAGGCTAGCGAAGTGGTCATTCCCCTTCAATAAACTTTTCAACCTTCCCCATCTCGAGCCTATCCGCACGTCTCAAGAAGGAAGTTTCTGCGATGCCAGTCAATCAGATGGTGATCGAATTAATGAGTTTAGAAAGTCACCGGCTTAGATCGTCAGAACGGACTCCAGCGGGTCGGTATCTTCATGTCCAAGCCAAGGCAAGGTTGGCTCATAATTTCTATACAATGGAATATAATTTTCGTTTTCAATTTCTTTATTTTTCAGATATGCAACAAAACTTTTTATGATATATAATTGGTTGACTGGAATCAGCTAACAGAATGGTGAATGAGAGATAATAGGTGTATTTCAAGGCATGGAAATGACTCCTTTACATTCAAGTTTCAATTCCATACAAGAATGTAGTCGAGGGCTTCTGCTATCTCAGGTGAGGAGATGAATTACTTTTCACATTGCTTGAGTTGAGATCTGAAGTAGAGTGGAAGAGTATATAAGGCCTTTTATTTTTTGTAATTTTCGAGAGAACCATCACTATACCTACCTACCGAGGTACACATAGATAGCTCGCAGCTGGCATTAACTTGAGTCATTATTCTAGAAAGATTATCATGCGATTTCATTGCACCGCAAAACAACTTCATATCTAATCTTGACTTTTCCCCGAACAACCTATCCTGATTTAGCCCATCCTCTAATTCTCAAAATCTTTGTCTCATCTCTATTTTGATTCTCGCCTCCATCTCTATGATCACCCCCAAGTCAACATGTCGCAGCATTTCAAGCGTGCGACAACTATACAGATCAGCACATCATATTTCACCTCTCCAGTCTGATGAAGATCAACCAAGTTAGAGTAAGGAATTCATATTTTCTACCTAATCATCTAAATTATCTCCATAATATTAAAGTTTCATCTCATCTTCCGAAGTCATTCCCATTCATCATAACGCCCCCATCAATCCAATTCTCATAACAATCATTTCAAAAACAAAGCTGCTTCGTAACTGTTGTTAGAAAAGCTCCAGATACAATGCCCACGACCGTCAAATCATTAGAGGAATTCCAGAAGGAGGAATTCAAATACCTCCTTCTACCTCCATCCGATCTCGGTCCTGACCATCCCATCTGCGCCTCCTAACAAAAGAAATCAACAATCCTCTCCTTGAAAGTCATATGCTCCTCTGCCTCCCAATCAATGACCCCCTCATCCTCAAGTCCCAGACAACCGGTATCCAAATCCGCCTCCAAACTTCCCACGATTCTAGTCTTACAGATAATCTTATGCCCAAAATAAGCAATCGTGAATAATATCAAACTGATATACGCCACAAAGAACTCTCTGACCTGGAATCCAGGAATAAAAGCTGTGAATCCTTGGGTAAAAATAATCAACACCGTAAATACTAAACCATACCACGCAAACCACGGTTGCCACATCGACTTATAAGGTAAACGATCGCGACTGATACCCCGGGCTGCAAGTGCCTTCATAAAAGCAATATGACATCCGCAAATGCAAGCCCAACTAATGAATCCAGCAACGGCAGAGATATTTTGGATCCAAACAAATGCGTCACTGCCTCCAGAACTCTCATTCAGGAAAGCCAGAAGACCAAAAATAGATGTAAATGCGACGGCATAATAGGGAACTCCACCTCTAGTTGTCTTCAAGAAACATTTAGGCGCGCAATTTCCTTCTGCGAGACCAACCAAGATACGAGAACCAGAATAGACGTTAGAATTCGCGGCGCTGAGGACGACGAAGAGGAGCACGGCATTGATGAGCCCGGGAAGTGTCTTGACACCAGCTAGTTTGGCGGCAATAACGAAAGGACTAGCGGATGCATCTGAGCTCCCGGATAATAAATCTGGGTTATCGTATGGAATCAAGAGACCGATAAAGAAAATTGTTCCGACGAAGAAAAAGAGAATTCGGAAAAATGTCTTGCGAATAGCGGCCGGGACGTTCTTTCTGGGGTTTTCGGTTTCTCCAGCTGCGATTCCGACGAGTTCGGTTCCTTGGTAAGAAAATCCGGCTTGGATAAGGACAGCCCAAAATCCGACGAATTTGGAAACGGGGTTCTCGGGATTGATGAGGTAGGGAGCGAATGCACCTGGATTGCCCCAGGTGTGGAATCCGAGATAGCCTTGTTGACCTGCTCCGGCATCGATACAGATACCAAAAATGAGGAAACCGAGCACGGTGATGACCTTGATGAGTGAAAACCAAAATTCGATTTCGCCGAAAAAGCTGACAGGGAGAAAATTGACGCCAGAGATGACGACGAAGAAGACAGAGATAAAGATGCCGACGTTGAGTTGGGGCGCCCAGTATTGGATAATGAGACCTGTGGCTGTGAGTTCAAGAGCGTAAGTGGTTGCCCAAGAGAACCAATAAATCCATCCCATGGCAAATCCAAGCGAAGGATCGATGAA